CTTGTTGAAGATGCAACTGACTAACACATGTTCAAATTTGTTTTTTTGGGTGGGTGGGGGGGGGGGTGCAAAAGGCAGTAACAACACGTACACAGCCACAAGCACACTTAATACAACAATACTTGGATGCAAGAAAACATACTTAAAAATGTGCAAATCGAGCTTTGATAGTACTCCCTCTGTTCCTAAATATTTGTCTTTTTAGAGATTTCAAATGGACTACCACATACGGATGTATATAGACATATTTTAGAGTGTAGATTCACTCATTTTGTTCCGTATGTAGTCGCTTGTTGAAATCTCTAGAAAGACAAATATTTGGAAAGGAGGGAGTAATTATCTACAAAGGGCAAGAGCTCACGGCCTTAACTTGCTAATCCTCTCCATAATATGCATATCAGTGAATAAATTTACATTGTTCCATAAATATGCTTGAGTTTAATTATTTTTTAATGTAAATCTTATTCAAAGTCAAAACTACAACAATTTTACCTCAAAGCAGCATTTTTTGGCGAAAAGGTGTGGGAATGAAAGAATGAACTCAGATAAGAATAAACTTGATGGCCAAAGACAGCACCTGGAAGAATAAAATGCCCACTGACATGAATAAATCATATAATATGAAAGTAGCGTAACAGTGAATACATGAATTTCAGTATTTAGAGCCATCGTACCCTGTATCCCCTTCGAGCATGTTAGTAGAACATAATAGTCGAGCAACCAAGCTTACTGGATTCGAGGATACGTTGTCATCTACATAAACAAATTTATTACTAAACTGTTATAATTAATTACCTGTGCAACTTTGGAATGTTAAAAATTAATAACTTACATGCAGGAGAAAGAAAAGATATCTCCTTATAGATCTTGGCCATACTAAGCTCTGAGTTATTCTGCGCACAAACCGCAAAATGGACTACTTCAGTATGTCATGTCAATACTCGATTATTGAGATGCACTACACAATGAGGTCCACATACCGCTCTTGACGACATACAACGGCCAAATTCCTCATAGAGTTCATCAATCACAATATCTGATGATGATTCCACCTCAGCTATAACCTTTTTAAGAATAGTTTTTACATATGTACAGTCTGGACCTCCCCCTACCTGTGTGAGTACACAATGCTTTAGACTAGCAACAGGAAGAAAAACTGACCAATAACAAAAAAAAAAACTATTACAGCGCATCACTGTAGTGCAGCCTCAACTGAATTAAATTTCAATTCTACTTTTTTCATATAAATTTTTAATGTATATCATGGTTATTTTAGTGCATAAGTTTTGTGGTATGTAATAGTGAAAGGCGTTTTACATTAGTGCCAATACAGTTCTCCAAAATAAAAATTTGAACGTGTGGCGTGACAGAACCTCCACCAGCCTTTCTGCATAAACCAAATATAGAAGTAAATAAATATCACCGTGATTTTCTAAAAAAAATCAAAAAGGAAAAAAATTAAGTACTATGTCTCATTTGAACTTATTAGTACATTTACATCCATATGAATCGGTCGACGCATTTTCATATCTTTGTGTGAAATTTAACAGGTGCTGGAAACCGTGTTCTAGAAAGCTAGTATTTCGGTAGAACCCCGAAACCATACAACTACATGTTAGTGTTACAGAAGAAAAAGCATAAAAACAGTAGTAAGAAGAGATTAAAAAGAAATCGACAAAAGACATGCCAGAAAAGCTTTCTGACATGCATTCTCCTGAGAATCAACCCACACTGTTGCATGTGTTTGCCGTGTAATCTTACCTCTACTACTACTAGGCTACTGCACAGAGGCAGAGCATGGCGCATGCGCCAAAACGGCCGAATTAGGAGCAGCAAGCCCCTAAACCAGCAGCGGCAATCGCCAATCGAGGCTCTGATTACTAACGCCCTCTAACGCATAGGTGGGGCTGGAAGTTTGATAGTGCTAGTAGGATGTGCTACCTACAAGGGATTAGTGTGGGATGTACCTGGCGAGGGTGAGGACGCAGGCGGGGGGCTCCAGGGCGAGGAAGGCGAGCTCGAGGTGGAGCAGCAGCCGCTCGCCGGAGTCCCCTGCAGCAGCCGCCGCGGCAGCCATGGACGCCGCACTGCTGGGACGGATTTGCGGCGCTTTTGGGAGGCGGCTCGGGTGTGATGCAAGCGAGCCGCCAGCCGTGGGGGTGGGAAAAAGCCTGTCTGGTTCGCAGCAGCAGTAGCCGGCGGGTTGACCTTTTTGCCCTTTTCTAGGAAAAAGGGTTTTAGGTAGGAGTTTTTTTTAGGGAAGGTTTTAGGCAAGGTTTTTTTTAGTAGTACATAAAAACAAACCTAGCGTGCCGGCCCAATAGCCCGTGTGCCTGGCCCGTTGTGGGCCTGGCCCGACACTTTATAATCAGGCCGTGCTGGTATGTGGCGCGCCTAGGGCCGTGAGGTGGGCACGAGTGCAGGCACAACACGGCCCGTTTAGTTGTTACTTTATTTTATTTTATTTATACATCCTGATAGGCTGAATATAGGTCCACATCAGCTCTATAGGCTGAATTCTACGCGGACCAGCAGGCTAAACGGGTCGCCCGTGCCGACCTGTGTAAGAGGGGACCGTGTTCGCACCAGGAAGGACAACACGCGTGCCAACCCAGCATGACCCGTGTACTTAGCGTGCCTGGCCCCTATAACCCAGGCCGGGCCGGGCCGGGTCAAACCAGCCCATTTATAATGCAGACTGTAAAGGAGCGAGAGAGTATTAGTTTTTCAAAAAATTAAACATTTTCAAACTTTAATCAAATTTATAGTGAAATATATCGATATCCATAAATTAAATTGGTTAAACCTAATCATAAAACGTATTTTAATTTATTTATTTATTTTTGTGTTTTGCATGTTGGTATTTTTTCTAATAAAGCTAAAAAATGACTATTAAAAATTATGAACGGAGTGCTAAGTATCACATGTCCTAAAAACACACACTTGTAGAAAAATGAAATACATTCAAATCTTCGGGTGTCCCAAGTCTTCTTCGCATCTACTAGCGCCACACAATGTGCAAAGCTCGTTGCCAACTATGTCCCCCCGACGGAGCACACTTGTTTAAACCCAAAGGCTCATAGATGCATTGTCCGGGAAGTCG